CCTGCCACAGTAACGCACCCAGAATGCTAGCTCCATCAGTCACCTCACAGCCCCAGCCCATATCTGGCAATCACCTCCCACAAGGCCCCAAGTACGGCGCTCCTTTCCCCCCATATTGGTGCCCCAACTCCCTCTGTGCACTCACATAGCTGGCCACCAGCTGTGGCTTAACTGCACTTGTCTCTGGCTCCCCAGACCACACCAGCTCTGGCCTTTGCAATACAGCAAATTTCTCTGCTATCCGGTAGACTGCAACTATGCCTTTTCCAGTAAGATCTGAACGACAGGGGCCCCTGGGTGGCTCAGTCGGTAAAGCGTCTTCCTTCAGCTGGGGTCATGATCTTGGGGTCCTGGGACTGAGCCCTGCATTGGGCCACCTGCTCAGGAGGAGCCTGCCTCTCCCTCTCCTTCTGCTGCTTGCACTCTTTCTCACTATCTCTCCCTCTCAAATAAATAAAATCTTAAAAAAAAAAAAAAAAAGAAAAAGTACTGAGCCTCAGCTTTGGGGAGGTGGCCTCTCTTCCAAGTGTGTCTCTCCTTGGATACTCTCCCTCAGCTTTAGGATAACATATTGAGTTCTCCTATTATTTATTTTCCTTTTTTTTTTAAATAAACACGATTTTTTTAAAGTAGGCTCCATGCCCAAAGTAGGGCTCCAAATCATAACCCCAAGATCAAGAGTCACAAGCTCTTCTGAGTCAGCCAGGTGCCCCAGCTTGACATTCTTTATGTTTCACTTTCTCCGTTTAAACCATTGTGTAGTTTGTCTTTTTTTTTTTTTAAAGATTTTATTTATTTGACAGAGAGAGACACAGCAAGAGAGGGAACACAAGCAGGGGGAATGGGAGAGGGAGAAGCAGGCCTCCCACCGAGCAGGGAGCCCGACGCAGGGCTCGATCCCAGGACCCTAGGATCATGACCCGAGCCGAAGGCAGATGCTTAACGACTGAGCCACCCAGGTGCCCATAGTTTCTGTCTTCTGATAGGAACCAGCCAGACTGATGACAATCAATTGTATGTCCAGCAGTGTTCGAGGCGGGAGTGAGACAGACAAGGTACTTGCTTTTGAGCTTATATTCTACAGAGGTTGTTAACTAAGACCTAACTCACAAGATAGACTGAGCCATACAAAATTTTGAGGCAGAATATTCTAAACACAAGGGGACAAGTGCAAAGAACCTATTGATAATGAACTTGATATATTTGAGAAACAGCAGGCCCAGTGGGGCTAGACTTCTGTGAGCAAAGAGTAATGAGAGATGAAGTTGAAGAAGCAGACCTTTTAGGTAGCGTAACCAGAAGATATTTTTAGAGGGGTTTTGATAATGAATGAAAGTAATGTACTCTACGTTACACCAGGGTAACAGGAGTCATCTGGGATGTATGGTCACTGAATTTACAGGCCACAGCAAAGGAGTCTGGATGCCATTTTAAGTGTGACAAAATGTATTCAGAGGTCTTTAAGCAGGGGAGTGACATGATATTTTTGACCACTCTGGTTATTGGAGAATGGATTAAAAGAAACAAAAATAGAAAAAGGGATCTAATATCCCCAGACTTAAGGAGAATATGGTGCAGTCACCAACCTCTTTCAGGACATTCGGGTTTCATTGTCATTCCTAACATAAGAGTACCAGGGTGAGGTTATGTTTGCCGATATGGAAGGCTTTATGGAGCTCATGCCTGTGCTAAATAGAAATAAAATTAGCCGCTTTTGGCTTTCAGCTCGGGGAGACAAAGGTGCAACTTTCTTCGGTCGTCCCGAATCCAGGTTCATCCAACACCAGCCACCTCTGCCATGCCGCCTAAGTTTGACCCCAATGAGATCAAAGTCGTGTACCTGAGGTGCCCCGGTGGCGAAGTCGGTGCCACGTCTGCCCTGGCCCCGAAGATCGGCCCGCTGGGTCTGTCTCCAAAAAAGGTTGGTGATGACATCGCCACGGTAACCGGTGATTGCAAGGGTCTAAGGATTACAGTGAAATTGACCCCTCAGAACAGACAGGCCCAGATTGAAGTGGGACCTTCTGCCTCTGCCCTGATTATCAAAGCCTTCAAGGAACCACCAAGAGACAGAAAGAAGCAGAAAAACGTTAAGAACAGTGAAACTATCACTTTTGATGAGATCGTCAGTATTGCCCGACAGACACAGCACCGATCTCTAGACAGAGAACTCTCTGGAACCATTAAAGAAATCCTGGGGAGTGCCCAGTCTGTGGGCTGCAATGTTGATGGCCACCACCCTCCTGACATCACAGATGACATCAACAGTGGTGTGGTGGAATGCCCAGCTAGTCAACTACAAAGGAAAATGTTTCAATAAAGGATCATTTGACAACCAAAAAATAAAATAAGTACCATTCAAATAGCTTTAGTAAGGACGGGGAAACGTAGGGGAGGGAATATCAGAAGTCCATAAATGTAAAGTCCATAAATCTTGAAGGCATACATGTGTTAGAGTGATGAAGTGAGTGTGGGTGTTTTCTTGTCTAAATGGGAGCTAAGAAATGATAAACTAAATAGGTAACAGGGACCTTGTCCTGGGGTGGGGGGTGTGTGTGACATCGGTAGGGGGCTTAAGTTTTATTTTCTGTAGTTGACTGGAAGCTACTGAAGGATCTTAAGTAGGATGGTGACATAAATGTATTATGGGGGCACCTGGCTGGCTCAGTTGGGGGGACGTGCAACCCTTGATCTTGGGGTTGTAGGTTCCAGCCCTACGTCGGGTGTAGAGATTACTCAAAAATAAAATCTTAAATACATGTAATATGGATATCCTGACATCAGCATAGGATGAGTTTCAGAGAGCAAAGACCAGAGGGGTAAGGAAGTGAGAGAAAAGAATTCTCACTGGGGAAAGAAAGCAACACACTAAGGCTGTTCATCTCATCTGCATCATGAACAAGTACCACTATTTTCGTATGTATTAGACTCTTAGGAAGCTTACTCTAGGTAACAGGCCAAACCAGGATTTAAAGGTGATTTTGTTGTTACAGGAAGGACAAAAAAAAAAACAAAAAACCCAAACCAAACCAAATCAGCAAGCCCATGATGTCATATGTACATTCAGAATTTTTATTTCAAAACAAAGAACCACAGTAACATTAATAATAGAAAACCCATCTGGAAATATTCACAATCTGGTCACTGAGAAATGGGAAAACTTCCACACAGCATTACTGCCAACCCACTGGTTTTGAGGAGCCGGAAGTAGAGGTGCAGTTAAAGTTACCTGTTGAACAAAGCCCCATTCCATATAAGCTGTTTTTTTCCCCAAAACGCTCAATGACCAGGCGGAACAGTGAGAACTGCTGACTAAAATACTGTCATAGGCAAGGGTTTGGCTAAAGGGTCTGAAGTATGTAAGCACCAAGGAAAGGGTGATCAAGCAACATATGAAGGAAGACAGAGAAGGTGTCATGGGGCCCAATCTCCATT